TCGTAGTTGAGCACGCCACCCCAACAAACCAGCGGTATCGTGATAAACGTAACATTTGCCATCAAGCAAAGTTCGTAGTTTGCCGCAGAAAAGCCACTGTGAAAGAACAATCCAGTTAACACAATTTCTTACATTTGTAGCAATAAAATTTCAAAACTACATGTTTTTAAAATCACATGGACGACATGGAATTCGTTTGAAGCCAGTATCTGTGCCACAAAGTTCGCTGAGAGAAACGAGTGACCGTTCGTACGGCATAATAAACGTGTAACATATAGTGTAAACTTTTGATTACGGCAGTCGACTTTTGGCAATGTAAAAGACTTGAATCAAACTATCCTATGTTTGTTAAGAAACAATAAGTGATACAGAAGAGCTTTAGTAAGTCATATTCCATGAAAGTTTGGGTAATTTTTATGTTCTTTTATGCTGGTCACACAGTTCTTGTTTTGAAGCCGTGTCTCAGTATAGTCTGCTAGTCGATCGTGATCATCGAGTTATTCGGCGCTTATTTCATAGCCGTAAGTTTATAAGTGTATGAAAGCTATTCGCTCTCTATTTCTGAACGAAGATAGGATAGTTAACATTCGAACAACTCTTTTTAACATACTTGAGAACTACAGAACGAAATTGACTGTCGTACGAATAGACTAGTTAGAGACCTTGTATCGAATGCAGTGTTTTACTGAGAGTCTCGTCGCATAGCGAGGACAGTATAAAAAAAATCTTGGACTGCAAAGATCTCGGCTTTAAATCAATTATCTGTCATCCCAGTGGCTTAATAAAGTATTCATGTTTGAAATGCCAACTTTAAATGTAAGACTTTTTGGTAACTTCTCTCAACGTATTTTGACTGATGAGCCATGCCATTTAGCGAGCCACTTTTTACATTTATCAATGGTAGCAAAGCCACGATAATTCCTTGCCTTCTGCCTTCAAACTACTGTTTATACATCCAAATCAATAATATACCCTGGTTACCAGAGGTTTTCTGYTTCTTTCCCATGCTTTCTTTTARGTACTRTAGAAGAGTAAGGAGAGCGCGAGTTACTGTACCTGGTTTCAACATGCATGGAGTATTTAGTTGGTTGAACTTCCAAAAGTATGATAAAGTACATATTCTATGATAGTAGTATGATAGATAGTATATATTTCACATGTTTATTGTGACTTCTCGAAGTAATGATAAATCAGACCCAGGTTGGGACGGTTTGCTAGTATCAGAGTCTCTGAGAATCTAAAGGAGAAGTAATAATAAGTTGCAAAATTTCGAACGACAGTGCAATGACCAAGTGTTGTGCACCATCTGCGCCATTTTGATTTTGGAGTGGTTACTAAGGTGTAATAAAAAAATACCCCAGTCCCCTCCCCCAGAGACGTGACGTATTATTGGCGGGATTGGTATGCTTCTTGGACAACTCAACAACCGACTTTATGAAATGTCATTCTTTTTGTTGTTTTGATGAAAAAAGTAGATTTCCATATATAAGTTCACCTGCATAAATTAAATAGCCGTAAAAAGTCTACAAGGAAGGTCGAATGTCGATGAGTAAAAGCAAAGTTGATCTTCGCTCAGTCGAATGTTGATCGCTCATGTTGAAAACGTTGACGTTTTACAAAATCAAAGTTGATCTGTGAAGTTGGATGTTGATCTGTGAAGTTAGATGTTGAATTGTAATTGAATTTGGTGACCGTAACATAATCTAAAAGAATTTATGATGGCTAGCGTAGAAAAGGTGAATTCTTTTGTTTCCTATGTACATGAGCTAACTGTACGGAAATATGTTAACCTTTATTGTTAAAACATGAACAGATTGCCGCTGATTCACGGAGGTAACTTGTCTGTTTTTATTGCCATGAACTCTAACCATGGTCGTATTAACCCGGCCATCAGAAAATAGGTATTATTGTTTTATTTCTCTTATTGTTCATTCCAATCATGCAAATGTTTGTTGATCCACGCTATAGAATATAACGTTGACCCTCATGATTGTCCAAACGCGTTATAGATTGTCAATGATTATGCTAATAGCATGCACTAATGAATTTTCACTTTTGGGTAAATGATTGTCCATAAATGCAATTGTTTGTCATTTGGTGTTATTGAAGTTGAATTTCGCGCACAAGAAAATACATTCCGCGGATATGAATGTACGAACGCGCTATTGATTGTCCATTGATGCCTATGAATGTACACGCATATTCAGTTATCGTTATCGAACGTTGATCCGCGCTAATGATGCTACTTGTGGTGTTGATGAAAGTACATTACACGTTATTGATACAACTATTGGCACAAATGAATGTACATTTTCTCTTAATGAACAGCAAAAGGTGTATTACATCTATAACAGCAAAATATCTGCAAAGTATCTTTGGTTTGGCAACGTATCCCTGAAGCTTTTTTAATCTATTATAACTCGAACTCGAATTCGGTATCCAACTCGAGGAATCCGAAGTCCCCGATCAAAAAATAGGGGAAACGAATAACTTACATGCGAGCACCTACTAACTATTAGCATAGAGGATAAAGGCATACAAAAACTCCTAAGGGACCAGGCTAACAATGAAGAAAACACTTAAACTGTAACGAGCGAAGCAAAAGCTATAGAGCACTTATATAAACAGATCTAGAACGAAGAAAACTACACCAAAAATTGGTGATCGACTATTTAGATCTAACATATAGTTATGTAAAATGCTGTTATTGGTCGGCTACGAATCTTAGATGTAGTTAAGAAAGATCGAGAAAAAAAGAATGCATTTCCAAACATTTACTAGAAAATTAAAAATATAGTTTTAGCATGGATGATAAAGGTCCTTTAATTTTATCATCAATCATGGGTTTAGGTAGCCAGTTTGGCTCGAGTCCCAGCTGCGTATACGTGCAGATACATTGGTTTGGCTTCGTCCCAATGATTTGTCTAAATTTAAATCCATTTTGGCTCGAGTCCTAAGGATTTGTTCATACATAATTGTGCACTTTTTTGACGAAAGTTGTCTCTTTGAGCTTACTAGTTTTGGAGTCGTGCGACTCGGCCGAATCCAGGGGTTGCTGAGTAGAGCCTGCGAGAAAGAGCTATTTCATTTTGTGCGAGCTGAGAGCCATTTCCACGACCCATACTACCCCTCTTAAGTAATTAAAATTTGGTTGCGTTTCGATTTCTATGATGCCGCAATGCTGTATGAAATGGGCGCTTTGCTGGATAACGACCGAGTTTAATTCTTTTTGTTGTTGTTGTTGTTGGGGGAGGGGGGAGGGGGAGGGGGTAGGGTGCCAACAGATATTTTTCTTTCGAACTTACAAGGAATCGCGGAGTGAGCAAGGAAGGTACAGTAACTCGCGCTCTCCTTACTCTTCTACAGTACTTAAAAGAAAGCATGGGAAAGAAACAGAAAACCTCTGGTAACCAGGGTATATTATTGATTTTATTGAACAAAGAATCATACATATATAAACTCGTTGATTTTAATCTCTCTACAAGGCCGCTTCAGTTGGTGGACTATTGCAATGTTATCCCGCCAACGATCATGGATTCGAATTCGAAGTGGTTTCGACGAAATCTTAAAGAATCCTAGTGAACTACAAGGCACTGCGCCGGCCCCCTATATTATTGCTTACATCTGTCGCCTACATCGTTCTCGAAGATCTTCCATGCCCTTGTGGAGCAACATTTTGGCAAATTCACTATGCCAAAGTTTTTAAATTCCCAAAGTTTCCTCCCTTTCATTCCACAACAAGTAGATTGAATTTTGCAGAGAGATTATCTTTGAGACACAATGACTTTTCAGTCTGTTAAATATCACAACTTTCCAAAACTGATTTACCTTAGATTCGTTATTGAAATAAATTCGTTATATCAAGATGTTCGTAAAACATCTACCTGGAATAACAAAAACGATGGAACTAGTGGATTTCCAAACTACACATACAAAACAGCTATTTCCTTGTCTGGCAGAGAAAACGGCGCATATAGATGGTGACTACTGAATCCTTCTATAACAAACGGTAGCAATATTCTATCCCAGATCATTTGGTGGTATACCAACAACTAGAATATAAAATATTATTAATTTTCCTATTTGACTCATGACTCATTGACTCATACGGCTCATTCAAACGTCTTTCTCGAAAACGGCGCATTGCATAGCAAAGCATTGTTTCCGGCGCGCAATGCATTGCATGCAGTTGACTAGGATTCTTTAAAATGTTCTGTCTGTCTTAGATTTTAGATTTTTCAACAATTTATGAAACAAAATGATTTTTATATTTGTTTTGACCCTAGATTAAAACAAATAAGCTTTATAATTACGAGAAAGAAATGCAATGATAACTATACACGAAAGCTAAACACGTATAACAAAAATATAATTCACGTGCCCGCCTTAATTGTAAAGGCAAGTCTTAATCTGACGGTCATATGTTAGTCTTGTGATGCTCGTATTTTTGTTTTTCCAACCTTGGGCTTTTTCGGGCAACTTACCGGTCATGTCCCGACACGCCAACTACGCATATGAACGATTCTTTTTCGGAGTTATTAGGATATTACTTTGGTTTTCAAGAATTAGAATTTATTTCTATTTTAGTGAACCAACTTGATCTATCGATTTGTTTATTTTGTCATGTTCATTTTCTTTCTTCTATATTGATTTGTCATTCTCGGTGTACCGTTTCTATTTAACGGTTTTAGCAGTTGTTCGTAATTTTGAACATCACTTCCTTGTGTGCAAAAAATTTACGAAAGCTTTTACTTGATGCATAACTGATATCTAACCACAGCGGCTAATGTTTCAGACTTCCTGAATCGTCAGGGGTTTCGCGTAGGATACATATGACCTTTACCATCCTAACACGTTTCATTCCTTTCAAACAAAGAAAATGTTTTGTAGCAAACTAATTACATAGCGGGACACTTTAAGTTTTAGGTTACTCTTCCAGGTCGCTCAGCGTTCCTGGTCGAGTCTTGGCACATCTAGCTGGAGACGAACAATATTATTTTGTTCTATTTATAAATTTCGACCTTGACTGCATATAAATACCTCCACATAACATGAAAACGACGAATTTAGTTAATCAGTTCTCCAGGATTCAACCAAGTGAATCATTCTAGTTTGACAAGGTAAGCTTCTGCCACCGTTATTACTAGCTTTCAGTACATTGACTACATATTTTACGTTTAAAATATAATACTTGATACTACTGTTTCATATTTTATAAACAGTATTTCAATGTGTGGATTTCTGAAACAATTGCTTGTCCTTTATGATCTTACCCAACGCCTATTTTATTTGTTTTGATATTTATGGAAAGGTTGTTTGACACTTATATTTTTCTTTTTGTTTCACACTGACGGGCGTAACGTAAACTAGAGCTGTTCACTTACGAGAGTGGTCGCGAGAAAAACACCCATTTCGACCCCAGATATACACAGTTAGATTCACTTGACAATGAAGAACTGAATCAAAAAACACCGATGGCCTATATTTCATTTTTGCCAATTACACTCTATATATGGATCCAAAGCAAAATCGAAGCAGTTCATTGGTTGGGCTAAAAAAGAGATGCACCTTTCTTTGTTTTTAGGTTCACTTTCACATTGCTGGATATTAACCATGCAGGCTAAAGAAGTTCGACATGTTTTGTTCATTTTGTTTCTTGCGTTGTATATGCCCGGTCTCCAAGCATGTGGGTCAAGCAGCAGCAGAAACGATTGGCATGCCACTATCAACATGAATTGTAAGATTATTAATAAGCAATTTATTTTTTATTATTTAACGAAGAGGACACAAAAGGATATATATACTATATATAAACCCGCATTGTCGTCTCAAAAGTACCGCGCGCGATTGGCTCATAGCATTTGATTGACGGCGAAAATAGGTATCCACATCTGTCTTCTGAATGCAACGGTTCTGTAGCAGGAAATGTAGAATCAGTTACTAGTATCCTATACTGAAGAATTGTGTTGCGAAGTAGAATCTTAAATTTTATCCCAGAATTTTTTWAATACAATAATAATAACCTTCATTAGAAAATAAATCAATTTTTTATTTATACACAGTATTTAAAGCTAGAAGCTTTTGGGGCTGTGTATGCTTCTTACACATTCCTTACTACATTCGAATTTTTCATATACAAACAACTCTCATGTTAATTTTTACGGAGGGAGGAAAAATACCAGTGTCGTGAATTGTTTTTGTAGGAAGTTTATTTTTTATCGCATCTTTATCTTCAAGCGTTGTTGATACGCTTACTTTTAATCTTGGATATATAGAAAACGACCTGGGGACACCCCTTTCTTCTATCCAGATTTGAAATAAGCATTAAATTTGGGTTAAAACAAATCGTGATTCAAAAATGTTTTCTTGGATTTTTTCTATAGTTGGCAACCATCATTAGCTTACTTCGGTTAGTTAATACTCGAAATGTACTCGAGCGAGTAGCAGGTTAAAATATTGCATTAGGATGTAAAGAATAAAGTATACGAAGACAAAAATTCTTTTCAACTTTATCTAAACTTCTTTTTAATGATTGTAGTATGTTGATGAAAAAACAAAGTTTTCCAAAACGCCAGACCCCGACCATTTTCTCGAACTTTCTAGAAACCGTTGTAAGGGAGACAACTGTTAGGTAGTGAGAATCCTTCTCAAGTAAATATCAGGATCGCTATCCTTGCTTTTTTTTTCTTTAACTTTGAATTGAAAAAATCAGAATTGCAAAACAAAACTAATCGCGATTTTGAGACAACAATAATAGAGAGTTTAAGATTCTCGTTTACGGCAAACGTGAAACGTCAGTTGACCATTAAAAAATTCTTTAAAATTAGTGAAAAGGAATCGCAAAAATCTCCAAGTAGTAGATAGACAAAAGAATACTTGTCATTGTCGAGAAGGTTTGCAAAAGGTAAAGTGAAATGTAGGGAAACGAATGAAAACGTGGTCACGTTTGCCGTTTGCGAGAAGGAAAAACGGGAATCTTAATCTGCCTAATACCACAAAAAAAATGGCAGCGTTGTTAGGAAATATTTGCCAAAGCAACTGTAAACATTGCGACTTTGTTGAAAGATTGTTTTTAAAATTAATATATTTTACTACTGAACAGGTGATAGAGGAATGAGTATAAGTCGCTTGAACAGCTTTCATGAAAATGAATACGAAGATCGTCGTTGGGCATATTCCTGCCATGCTAACTCTAAGGCTCTAATACGCTATAATACTGGCGAAGAAAATACCCATGATGGTAAACTGGATTTCGTCTGTCCTCGTGGAGGTTACATAACTCGAATGTACAGTAATACCTACCGGACACTTTACAAAGACAGGACATTCAAGTTCACATGCAGCCGCGAGAAGTACTGGAATCCACCTCACCCTAAAGGAAACTGCTATTGGACTGCCTGGAAAAATAAATATGACGGCGATTTGGACTTTTGGGTGCCAACTGGTTATCACTTAGCCGGTGTGGAAAGTAGACATTACAACTGGGCAGAGTAAGTAAGATATCCCGCGTGTATCTTTTTTATATTTATTTAGAAAACACGGTGAATAGATGAAGACACCGCTTGAAGTTTTTAATTTGAAATTTACGGCCAAGTATTGAGGGATAGACTTCATTGTCTTTACACAGTTTTGAGGATTTTTGGAAAGAATGAACATGCGCATGTCCAACTGTCTTTGAAAATTCACCACTTCTAGTCTAAACAAAGTCGGGACTCCCATCTTTAAGACTGACTGGACTTTAATCGACAAAAGTTTCAAGGATTAACAAATGAGGATTATGATGACCAAGTCCATTTTGTTTAGGAAATAATGGATAACGCATGCAGACTAGCAATTTTCTTAGATAAACATATTTTCATAACATATCATATCATATCATATGCGCAGCAGTTTTCTCACGTCAGATTCACTTTCGCTTACTACAGGTGACTATTTTTATTCAGTCGCTCAAAAATTTAGTTCACCATTCAATGTATGTCTTAGTTCTTCACTTATATATTCATGATACTTTTTTTTCTTTTTGTTCTAGGGATAGAATTTGGAAATTCTATGTGTGCAAATAAGTGTATATGATTATGGAAAAAATAGACACCGATGATACGGCCGAGGAAATCGATTTTTGCAATAACCCGAACTATCTAGAGTTCTATACCTACTTTCTCATTATCGTGATTGATGTAATTATGGAAACAAATGCAAACGTATCAAAACTAGTGTTTTTAGTGAGGTTGTAATTACCAATGCCACCATGCAATTTACTCTTCTTAAATAATATCCGCATATATTATTGACGTCATTAAAACGAGGCTAAGCCCGCAGAGCTTCAAATTTAAGATGGTTGCCAAGCAGTAAAACTGAATACCCGGGAGAGCAGAAATATACAAAGTTTTTCATCCAGAAATTTTTCAGTGCACAGCTAAAAAAATGTCAGAGATTAAGAGATTCCAGAGAGGTATTTTGTTCCCTCACTGAACAGCTGTTCCATATTTGGAAAGCGGCAGTCAAATTATCCTGAAATCATAGAACCTTTCTTTTTCGAATTTTCAATTTAGACAGCCAAAAATATACAAAGATTTTCAGTGCACAGCTTGAACAATATGTCAAATGTCTAGGATACCGTTATGCAGAATATCAATGGTGGAATGATTTAAGACCTCTGATCGAGTCAGAGAATTTTTTTGGGGTGAATGATTGCAGTACACCGAAGTACTCTATAACTTCCTGGCAATTGATAATTTACATCGATGTCAAGATAAATAAAATACGGAAAATCAATCACATGAAAACTGGTAGTTTTGATATAAATTCGCCATTTCGAAATTACACAAATGCTTACGTTTTTATACCATGGACGTAGTTTTCACAACGAAATTTAATCCCATTACATACAGTGTTCTTTATCTCCGCTACTATTGCATGTAATTGTCTTAAATTCTTTTAAAAATAATAAAGGTGTAACTTGGAAGAAAAATAAGCTCCCGCGTGTTGCTGCCTGGCCGCCATTTTGAATTCGAAGCCCTCATTTTGATTACGCTAATTAAATATGCGCATATTATTTAAGAGTAAACTCAACTTATGTTAAGTGGCACACAGCAATCAAACTTGCAAAAAATTAATAAAATGAGAGCCTAAATGTAAGCCAACTTTGCTCTGATGCTAATGGGCTAAGGAATTAAAAAAATAAACACTTTTGGAATACATGGGTCCATTGAAGGATTGTAATTTCTAAATTTAAATGAAATGAATAAACAACTGCTCAGTGAAAATCGTCTGGCAATTTTTGAAAATATTAAAGTGGTCCTGTAGGCAGTATTGTATAACAAAAGGTGTACCACGCTCTCTGATTGGTCAAGCTTTCAAATCACACTTCACTTGGACCTTGACGACTTTTTCTAACGAGCTTTTTAACTTTTAAATTTTTGGGGTAAACCTGTGAGTTGAAACTTGAATATCTCTCTCGGACTAAAAATGCTAACAAGGTGAAATGAAAAGAACTTTAACATGTGTTTAAATTGATGGTTTTCACGTCGGCCATGTTGGAGGAATTGTCAATGAATTATTTTGTTATATCCTCCATAATGACCGCCGTGTCTTTTGTTATTTAATTCTCTTGGGAATGGTTGAAAACCATCAATAGTAAGAATTGGAGACATTAAAATTTTATCGTAGTGTACAGTGTAGTAGTAAATTCAAGTAGAATAGGATAGAAATAGAATCGTTTATTTAAACAAGTTACGCAAGAGCAAATGCTCCTTCGCAATGAAAACGTGTAAATTAGAAATTAATAACGCCCTTGTGGGGAAAATTGCTGCTACAATATAACTTAGTCAGTGAAGTATTTGACTATTTCCCCCAATTAGACGAAGCCAAGGTTTAGTTTTAAACAACCAGAAATAAAACAAAAGCTATTACAATATTTTAGTAGATTTTACTCTACTGAAAATATATAACCATAACCCGTTAAAAGACCAACAATAGTCTAAACGCTAACCTGCCTAAAGTCAACTCCCATTGAGAACCTCACGATTAGAAATTTACGCATTTTGCAATTTGAGATTTTTTWAAATGTCAAATAAAACTCTCATTTATTAGAGTTATTTATTTATTATTTACACAGAAAAAAACTAGAACTCATGACGCTATTTTTAAAAACTAGTCCTTGGAAAGAATTCAAGTAAAAATATTAACAAATGAAGTACAACTAAAACGTAATCTCTATTTATCGCATGAAAAGCAAAAGATATATTTTAAAATATATACTAAACTTTCGAGAATTCCAGTCTGAATTTATAAGGAATAATTTCAAAAAAAATATTCGAATTCAAAAGATTTGTAGTGATGTTGTTAAGATAGAACGTTCTATTGTTAATTCATGCATTTTTATTGTATAGTCATGTGAAACTAATGAGTTTTTTTGGTGGTCAGTTTGGTTGATCTATTCATAAATCAATGAACTTCCTCGCGTTCATTAAAAGAACAATGAGTTTAAGATTCTCTTTGACGGCAAACGTGAAAAGTCACTTGACCATTAAAAATTCCTTAAAATTAGTGAAAAACAAAAATCTCCAAGTCAATTGTGATTTTCACAGTATGTTACCAAGGTAACCCCAATCAAGCAGCGGTGATTTTCATTGGTCCGTTTGGCAAGATTTTTTATCGGTTACTTCATACTTACGTTTTCGTTTGCTTAAAATAAATGACTAATAAGGTACTTGAACATTTAAAGTCAGTTTTAGATTGTGTCACTGGAGGTTTCTTCGTTCTTCCGTTGTGATGTTTAATTCGTTTACTCGCAGTGAATTTATTTCACTTATCTATCTGGTGGTTCATATCACTTCTGTTGCCACAACAAATAATGTTGTTGACACTAAACAAGGCAAAGTGAAGGGAGTGCGACAAGAAGTCGAGGTAGACAACAAGCAGAAAAAAAATGTCTACAAATTCCTCGGCGTTCCTTATGCTCAAAAACCAATTGGCGATCTTCGCTTCAAGCCCCCACAAGCTCTTTCCGCTCGAAGATCAAGTGATTATGATGCAACTTCTCTACGACCAATCTGTACACAACCTCAATACTACTTTGATTCTATCAAAGGGGCATGGCCTGAGTTTGATGAAACGAAGGATATGAGCGAAGACTGCCTGTACCTAAACATCTACACCCCATCAATAAAATCCTGCAAGAAAAAGTACCCAGTTATCTTTTATATCCACGGAGGAAGCTATGTCGCAGGTACCCCTACTCGTGATATATCACCAGGCGAGTATTTGCCCACACGTGGTGTTGTTCTTGTCACTATCCAGTATCGACTTGGTACATTTGGGTTCTTCACTACCGGGGACTCAGAGGCACCTGGAAATGTTGGTCTTCTTGACCAGGTAGAGGCCCTCAAGTGGGTTCAACAAAACATCGAGGGTTTTTGTGGCGACAAGAATAGCGTGACTCTTCTTGGTGAAAGCGCAGGAGGATCTAGTGTGTCTTTACACTACTTATCACCTCTGTCCAGAGGACTGTTTCATCGAGGTATTGCAGTGAGTGGTGTGGACCTTTCTCCCTTCGCCTACAAACCAAAGTCTACTGTCTTAAAAGCAAGTGAAACTTTAATCAGTAAGTTGAACTGCGAAAGAAATAATTCCAAAGCAACCTTACAATGCTTACAATCATCCTCCATCTCCGATATTAGAAAGAATGCACCAAGTCCGTTTCTTATGCAGCCTTTTGTAGACAAACATTTTCTACCAGACGAGCCACAACAACTGAGAACAGAAGGAAAATTCCGTAAACTTCCTCTAATGTCAGGGTTTGTGAGCCAGGAAGGTGCAATGCTTTTGGAATCCAAGAAAAAAGAAGAGTACAACACTGAAGGGTTCAGAAAATATTTAGAAGATTTTCTTAAAATGTCATTCCAACGTACAAAAGACAAGGCTCTCACTGCTTTTAACGCTCTAGAGTTCCAGTTCACTCCATGGGGATTCTTGTCGAACGGTCCTAAACACCGTAGAAAACTTGTAGAAATGTTGTCTGACTTCTACGTTGCTGCACCAACTCATGCTGCCTTAACCTACCATAGTGATTACGGTGCTCCTACCTATATGTTTGAGTTCGCTCATCGCTCTAAACTCCATCCAAAGCCTAAATGGATGGGCGTCATCCACGAAGATACGACGCCCTACAAGTTTGGTCTTCCACTTCTAAACTCCAAGACAAGATTAAAGTTTGACGAGAAAGATAAAAAAGTCAGCGACACTTTGGTGACCATGTTTACCAATTTTGCTAAATTCGGAAAACCTATCCCTACTCCTGTCAAAATTATAAAGTGGCTCAAATTCAAGTCATTTAGAACATCGTATATGAAAGTCAAGGAAAAGCCCTTTTTGACAAGTAGATATTACCCACTCAGAATGGCCTTCTGGAATAAGTATTTCCCAACATTGCTTCCAGATAAAGAAGATTCTGTATTGGGTGACGAAGTCGCAGACCTGTCTGGCACAGCTAACTTTGATCAAATGTGGTGAGATACAGACAGAAAAACTGATAGAAAACAGATCCTTTATATCAATTAAGTTTTAATAGACCTACGCTATTTACTCACTAAAGAAATGCATGCCATCACAATCATTTAGAAAAATTGTATTTCGTGAATAAAACTTGAATAAAGGAATGTTTTCTCAAAAGAGGGCTAGGAAATAAGGAGTGGTTTAATTCAAATTTGCGAAGCTTAGCTTGTCTGTTGAAGAAAACAAGACTGCTGAGGTCCTGCTATTTTTTTAACTAATAAAAAGTAGATACAGAAAACCTTATATTGAGAACCACAAATTTAGCATGAGTATATCAATGGTTCCCGTTTTAAACACTTTCATTGCACACAATAGACATGCCTTACGTCTAGAAGCTGAGGCAACGTATAGAATTGGCTTGACGGGAAAGCAGTTCGATAGATGTACTATACGGATTACGCAGGTTATAGTCAGTCGTGCTTTTAGCCATTTGACAGTAGTCATGGAACCCCTTCATAATCAGTAGATACACGAAGCATAGAAACAAGTTTTTATGAAGGGTCTGAAAATCCAAATGTGTCACTTTCTCACTTGGGTGTTAATCCTAGAGGTTACGTTGTCTTATGTCGTCTGTTTACGAACGTTATACAGAATTTACTTCCGGATTTTACTATACAAATATGAAAGCGGGCTTGAATTGAAGCCTTAATAGTAGGTCAAGCGTGAAACTTCACATGAGCCGAACCTAATGGCATCAACTGAAAAAGGCCGCCTTGTTGTCCATTGTTTCCACTAGTTGGGCTCATACACAGGTAAGCTAACAAATGCCGGGTGCTAAAATAACTAAGGGTTTGGGAACTAATAGGGTTTACATTAAAGATGGCAGATTTAGCCCTACTCGTCCCTCTCTCGGCTTCGTTCTTGTATTACGCTATTCTAACGTGAATTTTCCAATTTTCATAATTGCTTTTAGTTTTACTAAATACATCCCACATGGAAAGGAGTGAGTATTCGTTCAAAACCATCAGCGTCACAATCAAGACTTTTGAGTTTGCTGGTCATAGCAAGGGGTTAATCATCTACGGACTACGGTATTTCTTTAGAATTGTACGAATCTGTACTTGGAGTCAAATAGATTAAGAAAATAATGCTGATTAAAGACGTTCATGCATGGGCAAAAGATGACATCGTCAGATTCTTTTAACATTTTGCATAATGAAAGAACATCATACTAGAAGTAAAATAAGCAAATAAAAAATGCGTGTCCCCTTTTTTATGAGGTTTTGCTTATCAAAACATTGGAATAACGTCATCACGATAAGCGCGCGCTCACTAAATTCATGCGTAGAAATGATGCGCGCGAACAATGCTCATGAACGTCCTTAAGTTTAAACACTATTCTTGGTTTTCACCTACGTTCAGTTTGAAAAACGTAATTTAGCTTAATAATAAAATAAAAATTTTATAATTTTGTAAAACGTTCACAACTTCATGTTGTCAACTTCTGTCAACTGTTCAACTTATCGTTGTCGCTTGGGTCAGTTCCAGCAAGTTGGAAACGTGCCAACATAACGCCTGTCTTCAAAAGAGATGACCCTTCTCTTGCTGCAAACTACAGACCAATCTCGCCGCTGTGCATTGTCTCGAAAGCACTAGAACGTTGCATCTTTGATCATTGTTACAAATACTTGTCCCCATTCCTGTACCACCTCCAACATGGATTCCTTAAAGGGAAGTCAACAGTAACGCAGCTACTCACAGTCTACCATGACATTGTGGAAAATCTAGCAAGTGGCAGAGAAGTTGACGCAGTCCATCTCGATCTATCCAAGCCTAATCTTGCCCTTTTCGCCGATGATTCGAAGCTTTACCGAGTCATAGACTCAAGATCCTGTCAGCAATCTCTCCAAGACGACATCGATTGTGTTCACCGCTGGAGTGTTGATTCCAAAATGACATTCAACACATCCAAATGTAAAGTCCTGCACATGTCAAAGAAAAGATCTGAAGTCGACACCAACCAGCACCACCTTGGTAACCAGGACCTCCAGCAAGCTAGCCACATCAAAGACCTTGGAGTCACTGTCGCAAGTGACATGACGTGGGGCAAACACATCGAAGACATATGTGCCAAGGCCAATAAGACACTTGGCCTCGTAAAAAGAATCTGCAGAAGAGACATCACTGATGTAAGAACAAGAAAACTTCTATTTCGCTCGTTGGTGAGGCCCAAGCTAGAGTACGCCTCTAGTGTCTGGTCGCCATACACTGCAAAACATCGCAGGCTGATCGAGAATATACAACGTAGAGCTACCAAGTTCATTTTGAACTATCCTGAGGACAAGACATACACTGAGAAGCTCATCTACCTCGAACTGCAGCCACTGGAACACAGAAGAGAAATGACTGGCCTTGTTATGCTGTACAAGATAAGGAATGGGTCTACGAAATTTAAAAAGTTAATTTCTGAACACTATGACCAGAAATTATCATCCTATCAGCCACCTCAGTAACTCATTATATAATCGATTAGTCTGGTATTTTTGATAAAATATGTAATGTTATAGCTTTTAGACCATTCCTCTCTTGCTATTTCTGATTTTTTTTATAACGCAAAAGAGTTCTAAGAAGTTCAATGTCCTTGGAGAAATTCAAAAAGCTTATTTTTCACTATATAATGAATTAGTCCAGTATTCTTTGATAGAATATTCAAGGTCATAACTTTTAGACCTCTTCACTCTTGCTATTTCATACTAATTTTTTCATAACGCTAAAATGTTTTAAGAAGTTTCACTACAATAGGGGAAGGTTGTCAATTGGGACGCAAGTCCTGTATCCTCCCCCTGTCACGTTTTATCATAATAACCTACTTCTTTTTCACTATTTTTTCCTTTTTATCTCTATACAACTATATTTGGCTCACTTAATTTATTAGATCACATATTGTACCTCAGGTTGTAAATAGTGACGAATAAAC